GTTGTGTTTCACCGAGGAGCCGAAAGTTTGCAAGTTCCCTGTCCGCCGAGAAGAAATCTTTGATAGCAGAAGGACCTAGCCTTGGGGAATTTATATCAGGAGAAGTTAATCCTCAAGAGAATCCTTATAAAAGAAAAAAGGGGCAAAGGTATACCTAATAGCAAGCGACCTAACGTTGTATTTTGTTTATAGTACATATGTAAGTAAGACAGCTGTGAAACATTTTGTCCGGATATAAGTTACATGTAAGCTTTTAAAGTTTTTCTTTCATTTACCAACTACAGTAGAATCCTGATTTCTCAAGCCTCTCGTTAAACCAAAAGTCATTTGCGTTGGATTTGTCTTACTCTTTATTTTTCAAACAAATTTTCGTTTCCCATGGGGATATGGAGGTTTGACAAATTCGGATTCCATTTGATTATTATTCAAACGGCCAGTGTAAAATGCAGACTGCACACTGCAGACCAGGGGTGAAATGCAGACTAAGGGTGAAATGCAGACTGTAGGCCTTTGAACTGAATAAACCATTTTACAGTGGTCTGCTCAGTGACCTGGTCTTTAGTTGGCGGCGAGGCTGGAGTTGACCTTGTTTTGATACAGACTTCACTGCTTTTGTCTTGTAAATGCCCCAGTAAGCATCAAAACAACTTGTTTTACACAACAAAAGCAGTGAGGTCTGTATCAAAACAAGGTCAACCCAAGCCTCGCTGCCATCCAAAGGCCAGGCCACTGAGCAGACAACTGTAAAATGGTCTATTATATTACCATTTCCGTCATTGAGAGCTAACGGTAAACAGGGTAACTGGAGCATTATTTAGGGTAACCTGAGTGATATTCAGGCTAACTGGAGTGCAGACTTTCATTGCGATTGGCCGGAAGAATACTATTTGCGGTCAGCACTCGATAATGGAAATATTACGTTATACACTAAAAAGTCTGTAGTCTGCAGTCTGCATTTTACTCCTGGCCTGCACCCCCAGTATGCAGTCTGCAGTCTGCACTCCACAGTCTGTGTTTTACACTCACTGACTGATCAAATGTGTAATGAGCTGTTGCTATTCTGCTGTTTTGTTTAGATTGCGATTACCACCATGGCTAAAAACACAGATTCCTATTGGTAAAAATTACCTCAAACTAAAAGAAAC